GGACACCAGCAGGTGCCTCCCTCCCCGAGGGCAAACCAGTTCATCTCAGAGACGAGGCCATGGGAACAGGAAAAGCCTTCCAGGATGAAGAGTCATGCAGGGCCAGGACTGACTAGGGTGAAGCAAGAGAGCCATGTGCTTCAGGCACAAAATTTAAATTTAAGGTGTGCCAAGAAAAGCTTAGTAATCAAGATATATGATACTGTAATGCAATATTTTACAAAATCAAATTGGTCAGCTAAGGTGCAGGCTGTAGGTGTACTGGAACCAGGGCCAGGATTAGGGCCAGGCCGATGAGGCAGGTCAGGCGAGGTCCTATGATGTTGAAAGAGTCGAACATCACGAAGCCCTGTCCCACCCCTGGTGCCAATCACACTTCTGTGAGAGACAAGGCACAGCACCCTATCCGAAACTCTTGCAAGTCAGGATTTTGTTGTTGTTGTTGATCCTCACCTGAGGGTATGTTTCCATTGAGTTTTAGAGAGAGTGGAAGGGAGGGAGAGAGACAGAGAGAGAGAAGCATGGATGTGAGAGAGACACTTCGACTGGTTCACTGGTTGCCTTTCACATGAGTCCCGACCAGGGCCAGGGATCAAGGATCGAGCCTGCAACCAAGGTACTTGCCCTTGACCCAAATCAAACCTGAGACTCTTCAGTCTATGGGCCAACGTTTTATCCACTTAGCCAAACCAGCTAGGGCTATAATTCAGGATTTTTTTTAAAGGTAATGTAGAGTACATCTCATAGATTCCATAGTCCGATAGCAGGGTGTGGGCAGGAAACCCCTCCGAGCCATCAAACCAGTGAATATTCACACTCCACAGAATAGACAACCAGGGGTCTCACATTAGTCCAGGCCAGGTTTTGCCATCACACAAGTTAAAGAAAAGCTTTCCGGTTTAGAACATCGTGGATTTTGAAAATATAGATAAAGGAGTGTGAGTCTTCACAGCATCACATCAGTTTTCTTATAGAAAAAAGGCAGCAAATTGGACCCAAATCTTTTGTTATAAACTTATGCAGACAAGACAACTGCAAAGTCCTCCCCAGTGGTCCTCCAGAAGAAGGCAATTTCTAAAAGTTGGTCAAGCCCAGAGCAGACTTACAGCCGCATTTCCCACCAGCCAACCAACGGCTATTATTAAACACTGTCTGTGTGTCAAACCTTGTGCGGAGTCCTGGGCGGTACTAAGACACACAAGACACAGTTCCAGCCCTCAAGAGCTTAAAGGCAGTAGGGACAAGAAGGAAAACACAAACCGTAGAATTCTGACAACTGAAAGGAACTAATCCACACCCATTCTTTAGAAATGATGAAGCCAGGCAGTTAATGGCAGAAGGAGAACAGAATCTGGGTTAGCTAACCACCATATATATATAATTTTTTTCTCTATTGATTGGAGAGAAAGGTAGAGAGAAACACCAACTTGTTGTTCCACTTATTTATGCATTCATTGGTTGCTTCCTGTATGTGCCCTGACCGAAGATCGAACCTGCAACCTTGGCATATCGGGACAACGCTCTAACCAAGTGAGCTACTGGGCCAGGGCCTTCACTGCTCCTTCCATGTGCTTCTTGCATAATCATTGCCAAGGTCGGGATGAAATTACGAGAGGAGTAGAAGATCCCAGCTCAAGTAGTTTGGGTCAAATGTACCTTTGAAGCAAAAATGGCCTCTGACTTTAAAAAGAACTTGTGTTTGGGGAGCCAGCAAAGCAGATGAGGGCCGTCCGGGCAGGAAAATGATGAGATACAGGGTGGGCACGTGTGTGGCAGCTCAGCCAGGCATGTAGATTAGTCTCTAGTAAAGGGCACAGAAGGCGTTGGGAAAGCAGGGAAAACCTATGCAGGGAGAGCTTCAATGCCAGGATGGAGAACTGATGATTATGTCTTAAGCAGCATTTCCCAGTCATCTGCCTCCCCCTCCATGAGTGGTCATGGCTGCCCACCACCCTTGTGGGAAGAGCTGGAGTGTAGTGGTTTCAAACCATACTCTCTGAGGTCAGAGTCTTTCCATCTGAACCCAGGCTCTGTGGCCAAGTGTGACTTTGGACAAGCTGCTTAACCTCTCTTTGCCTCAGTTTACTGGTTTGTAAAATCAAGACCATATAGGTGCCTCTCTCATGAGGGTTGAATGAAAGAGCATGTTGATTGTACTGAAAATAGTACCTAGTTTTCTAAGTACTTAAAAAAGGTTAATAAAGGTTAGATGTCATTAGACTTTTTATTTAAGTTAAAATTTTAGTTAGGTATATACTGTAGGCTTATCCTAAGCAATAATATCCAAGAAATCATGGGCTTCTCATGACAGTTATGGCTTTGATGATACACATATAACAAGAGGTTAAATCAAAAGTGTTCACTAAGGGACCAAGTACAATAGGTCTGAAGCTCCCAAGCTGGCAAGAGGGGCTCCCACAGGACCAAGAAACTTGATGCCTGACCCTGCAACGGGGAGGATGGAGTGGACTGGCATCTGACCACCACCTGAAACACCCAAGGTATGAGACACAGCCTCACCACCCGCTATTGGAGGAGCCGAGGGAGATGGCTGAGCTGGGGGGGTCAGCCTGCATGCCCAGGTTCACTGTGCCAACAAATGTGTGATTGTTTCCTTGGGCTTACATGGGCCACCTGCAAGAGAGGCCCCTGTCCAAAAGGGCCCCTCAGACAGACTGAAGGACCTGAGCCGAAATAGGCCGAAGGTGAATCTCTAAATTTTAGAGCAGGGGTCCTCAAACTTTTTAAACAGGGGGCCAGGTCACTCTCCCTCAGACCATTGGAGGGCCGGACTTTAGTTTAAAAAAAAACTATGAACAAATTCCTATGCACACTGCACATATCTTATTTTGAAGTAAAAAAACAAAACGGGAACAAATACAATATTTGTATTTGCATGTGGCCTGCGGGCCGTAGTTTGAGGACCCCTGTTTTAGAGGCTAAGGAAAGAAGAATGATTTAGAATAAAGGATAATTTGCTCTTTTCAAGACAAATAGAAGTGAATGATCCCAGCAACTTGTGGTGGGGAGATATGTCTGAGAAACTATGAACTTGGCCAGAAGAGAAAGAATCGGGGGAAGCATGGAACAGACTGACACACCTCGAGGTGGGGTTGGGGGGACAAGAAGAGATTAAACCAACGAACTTATGTACTTACTAGAGGCCCAGTGCACAAATTCGTGCACTGGTGGGGTCCCTCAGCCTGGCCTGCAGGAATGGGCCAAAACCAGCTCTCCGACATCCCCCAAGGGGTCCCAGATTGTGAGAGGGTATTCTCAGGTGACGCACCCTGGAATCGGGCTCCCTCTTCTCTGGTTCTGGGTGCATCACCTGAGAACCTCAGCTGCCAAGTCACCGCAGCTCAGCAGCTCCTGCATTGAGCGTCTTCCCCCTGGTAGTCAGTGCATATCATAGCTACTGGTCAGACGGTTGGCTGGTTGCTTGGGTTTTTATATACATAGATACACATTGCCCATGGACACAGGCAATAGGGTAGTGAAGACCTGGGGGGAAGGGGGTGTAGAAGCTGGGAGGAGGGTAAAAAGATGGGGGGGGGAATATCTGCAATACTATCAACAATAAAAAATGTATTTTAAAAAAACATACCTCTGTTGTATTTTTTATATGGGCAACAAATAAACACACAAACAAACAAAAAATAAATAAATACCTCCAGGCCCAGGAGGCAAGAAGCTGGCAGACAGCAGCGCTAAGCCAAGTGAATCCTTTTCTGTCCCTCCCAGCCCACTGACAAAGGACTGGACACATGAAATACTGAATTGTGACTTAAAGTGACCACAGGACCTTCTACTGCCTGAGAATGTCCATAAAGGTATGGGGACTGATTGAGTTTTCATCCCAGGACAGGGAAAGGACTAATCCTGCTGAAAAAACATAAAGGGACAGTAGAAGACAAAATTAAGTCACTTTATGAACACATCCCAATGAGTCATGTTTCTTTACACTAATTAGAAACATAGTTATTAAAATGGAATGTTTGTCCCTATACCAACTAAAATCATCTCTCACATTCCCACAGGTACAGTAACCACCATTAGAAATAACTGGTGTAGGGCAATAAGGAACTAAGGAAAAAAGCAAGGCAGGCAGGGGCAGAAAAGATTAGTTTGGTGGGTTCAGTGGGAACGCATTTGCTCCTCAACTCTGAATATGATGAAATAAAAATAGGAGTGTATCCATGGATAGCAGAACCCAAGAGTCCTTGGACAAATGGCTTTGTTCACAGGGAAATCCAGGGGCCCAATGGCATGTACGGAGAAGCTGTGACTCCCTAAAATGAGTTTACGATATGATCTTGCTCTTTTAGGCCAGAGCGAAGGCAGCAGAGAAGAGGCACGCTCTCAGGACACTGAGTCACCTGGGAAGCATCAGCCAATGTCCCGAATCCTGGAGCCCTGGAGGGATCTGGAGCCAAACCAGTCCCTGGAATCAGCCAAGTTCAAGTGCAGAATGTAAAACACACCATTGCACAACTTCCCTGCTGCCTTCACTGGGGCAGTCAGAACGTGCAGGGGGACAGGGGGGTGAAGTTTAAGTTTAATACAAGATACAACGGGTGCTTGCTCCCCATGGTTTAGGAGATGGAGAGTACACACCTCACAGCTGCCCTGTTTAAACAGTCAGGGGAGGAATTTCCTGACCCAGAGCCCTTTTGCAAGAAGGTTCTTACTCCAGCTCTAACTTTGCCCCTTAACTTCCAATTTGGCTTCTTTCTTCTGGGGTTTCTCCTTCAACCGAAGCTCTGTTTCCCTAGCTCTGTCTTCTGAGTTATTCCCTGAGTTGGGACCAAATTAATCAGATTCTACTGCATCATCCAGCATCATTGTGCCAACATTCTTCTTTTACTAATAAAGAAACTAAAGGACTCATGTCACGTGCCCAGAGTCACTGAGCTGAGACAGGAGCCCAAGTCCCCTAACCCCTAGCACAAAGCTCCATAATACACCATCATGCTAACACTCCAAGGGGGCCAGCTCACCTCTGCCAGGCCACCACCTCAACCTTCACTCTTCTTCCACAAACACCTCAAAACGGTAGAAGAGCCTCAGAGTTAACTTGCCTGAAACAAACAGGGATGAAAGAGATGAGAATCATCTCAACGAGCTAGCTGGTCACCCTTGAATAGACTAACCAGGGACCACAAATCCTTTCTCAGAAGAACAGGATAGTCTGCTGTACTCTGCAGAGTGTACCTGGGACCCAGAGTCATGATAGGTCTCCATAGCTGAACTGTAATAATGGGCAGGGGGAGGCCCAGCAATTAGGTTGGAGGATGAGGACTGGAGTCAAGAATTTGAAAAGATAAGCTGCGATGACTAGTGGCTGAAGAGTGACAGAAAGAAAAATGCTGCCCAGAGAGCCTGTTAAGCAAGAGCAAAAAAATTGGCATCAAAATGAAACGGGGTTTATGAGATACATTCTATTCTCCTTACAGTAACTCCCAGGCCATCTGGTCTACTTCCTCTTGCAAAGTACTGACCTCTCTTCTTCCCAGACATTCACTGGGGTGTTCAAATAAGAATCTGGAATTCCAACTCCTTTTAACTAGCTGTGTTTAATCCACATAAGCCCTCCTTCTTATCGTTTAACTAACACTACCTCCACTTTTGCCGTCTTCCCAACATGCAATTCATAGAACACAATGGAATCAGGCAGATCCCAGTTCAAATCCCAGTTTAGACACTTGCTGCCGTGTGACATGTGCAATCATTTTAACTTTCAGAGAGCCTCAGTTTTTCTAGCTGTAAAATGGGGACAAATAAGTAGCTATCTCATTGCTATGAAAGAAGAAGAACATATATCAAGTGTTCAGCCCAGTGCCTGGGGTATAGTAAGTATCTGATAAGTATCTGTTATTGCTGTTATTGCTAAGAGCACTGAAACCTGCTGAAGCTCCGTTTGTGGAATGAAGTCTTAGAAGGCTGAAATGGGTTGTCCAAGGTTACACAAGTGAGACAGGAAGGAATCCCAGGTGTCCTCATTCCAGAAGCCTTTGCCACCTATCAGCTCCTACACAAACAACATCATTGCCCAATGACCTAGAAATCTGGGTATCTGATCACATCCTAGCACCACAGCTGATTAATAGGCCCTCACCATGTTCTAGAAACCATGCAGGCTAAATGAAAGCGTTCAGGCTTCTACAAATCAAGGTAGGAAAGTCATCTCCTGTTATGGCAGGCAAAAACACACTTAAAATACAAAAATCTGGCCCTGCCAGTGTGGCTCAGTGGTTGAACATTGACCTATGAACCAGGAGATCACGGTTCAATTCCTGGTCCCGGCATATGCCTCGGTTGTAGTCTCAATTCCCAGTAGGGGGCGTGTAGGAGGCAGCCAATCAATGATTCTCTCTTGTCATTGATGTTTCTCTCACTCTCTCCCTTCCTTTCTGAAATCAATAAAAAAAATATTTTTTTTTTAAAAAGAGAGAATTGTGTGTGTGTGTGTGTGTGTGTGTGTGTGTGTGTGTATTTTAAATCTGGAGCTGTTGCCCTGGCCGGTGTGGGTCAGTTGGTTAAGTGATGTCCCACTGAAAGGTTTACGGCTGGATTCCTGGTCAGGGCACATGCCCAGGTTGTGAGTTCAATCCCTGGTCGGGATCATATGGGAGGCCACTTCGATGTTTCTCTCCCACATCAATGTTGCTCTCTCTCTCCCTTCCTCTCTCTCTCAAATCAATAAAACATTTTTTTAAAATCTAGAGCTGCTGCTTGCTTGTGTAACAATACTGGTACTTCTTGGCCATATTTAAGAAGGTAGATGAAAGTAAGACCAATGCCCTGGCTGCCTTATTCCTAGCTTTGGAAAGGCACTTTGGATTGGGAATAAGAGGGAGGGAGATCCGAGGGACCAAAAACTAAAATGGGGTTTGGCTAAGGACAGCAGTAAAAAAGAAGATGCGGACACCAGTGGGCTAAATACAGGCCCCTGCCATGGCTCCAAAGAATGGCAGTCATTGTCTACAAGGTGGGCTTCTTGCTGCAGCAGGGCCTGTCCCTCCATGGATGGTACAAGCCACGAAACCATGAAGCGCAGGAAGCACATTTATCTTGAAGCATGAATCACCCTCAGAAGCCCAGAAAAGAATCCTCTCTTTGTGGCCCTTCCATCTCCTTTTTGGCTGGCATCCCTCTCTCCTCGGGCTGGTGTCAAGGCCTTATGAAAACTCAGGCTGAGTGACCTTTCTGATAGAAATGAAACATTCCAGAAACTCATGTGACGGGGTCTCTTAAAAACAGAAAGGAAACAATGAATGAATGAACCAGCATTTGTCATTCACGTCCAACCACGGAAGCAGTCAGAAATGGCTAGTGCGTCCTGACGGCAGGGCTTCTGGAGTGGAAAGGAACGGCAGAAAGTGCACTTTCTGATGACGCGCCCTCCCCCCCGCCTCAATCTATTACATTTCCCTACATTAAGTTAGTATTTGACCACGAACTCTTTTTTTTTTAACCCACCATGCTTCTAGAGCAGTGGTTCTCAACCTTCCTAATGCCGCGACCCTTTAATACAGTTCCTCATGTTGTGGTGACCCCCAATTTCATTGTTACAAATCGAACATAATTCAAGCATAGTGATTAATCACACAAAACAATATGTAATTATATATGTGTTTTCCGATGGTCTTAGGCGACCCTTGTGAAAGGGTCGTTCGACCCCCAAAGGGGTCGCGACCCACAGGTTGAGAACCGCTGTTCTAGAGGATGGAGCAGCAGGAAAGCGTAATCTGAGAGCATGTCCACGCAGACCGTGTGCTCGGACGTCAAGGATGCTGTCCCTTCTACACATACCAGGCACATTGGGAGCCAAGAGCCCTGCAAAGATATCAAAGTCCCTGCTGGGGAGCCAGCAGAGTAAAGGAAAATGGGGAGCTCCATGTTCAGAAACAGCACTTGGCAACGACTTTGGTTACTCCTCAAATTGTCACACTGGACTGTGACCGACCCCAAGGTAGAAGCACCAACATCAGCGGAGGGTGGGAAGTTACCTTTCAGAACCATCCTTCACAGGAGCAGAGGGCCACGCCCACTCTGTGACCTCAACCCCACTGAATTACACAGAGGGGAGCTGATGTTAAAATGAACCTCGAGGACAGCCTCAGGGGAGAAGAGAGCGGGAGTCCAACCTGCAGGATGGAGGAGAGCAGAGGGGAGGGAGCAGGCCTCCTTCCACCTGGGAATGTGACAGATCCCTTATTCTGCCTCAGCTCTATCCATGGACGTGAGTTGCAGAGGTGAAAACCACACCGTTTCCTTCTATCACAGCAGCACGGAGCTCCCCACAGCTCAGAGTCCCAGGCCAACATCTATCAGAAACCAAGGACCTGGGTGCCTGAATTCTATCAGCCCGTAGAATGAATGAAAATGTATAACTCCTGGGTCTCTTCCAGTGCTTGAGTCCAAACATTCTGAAATCCCAGGAAAGGAAAACTTCCCCAACACAGACATTCAGTCAACCCACAGCCAGTGAGCTAACTCTCAGCGTGACTCAGTTTCCCTCCAAGGAAATCGTAAACAAACGTGCCAGCTCCTAGCCCTTCCCCAGAAGTCAGCTTACACTTACCTTTTCAAACCTAGAGCCTCTGATTCCTGAGAGGTGGCGGTGGAGAAAGCAGGAGACCTGACCAGAAGGGCGGACTTGCTTCCTGCTCGGAATCCCTTCCAACATTCCCTCCTCGGCCAGGTGTCGCCACAAAAAGCGCGGAGAGTTTGCCAAGTAAGAAATTACCCACCCCTTAAAAGGAATGTTCCTGCAATGAAAAAATAAAACCCCAGCAGCCTTGTCTGTAAACTGGGGGGGTGAGGGGAGGAGGGAGGAGAACAGTAAAGAGATACAAATTTGAAAACAGCCTGGCTGCTGTTGGAGGGTTAGATTTCCCTTCCCTCAAGGACAGCCAGATCTTCTATGGTTGCTGATAACACCAAGCAGCTTCACTTTCCTGCCCTCACCCAGGTCTCAGCTTCTAACATCAGTGTCCCCCACGTCCTCAGAGACCCTGCTCAGAGCTTGGAGGGTGACTGTCCCTGCTGTCCAGACTGGACACCGTCTGGGGAAACCCTACTGGAAAGGAGTTCTAAGACGTCTGAGAGCAGAGACAGACACAAAAACACTTGCTGCCCATGTGCCACTCCAGCGCCTTTCTGATGAAAAACTATACTTTTAAAAACCAACACGGAGCCTTCCCTATCACAAAAGCTGTAATTTCGCCCTTTCCCCCCAAAATGACACCTTTCCCTTTAGAGACAAGATGTAATTCCGATACAAGTGAAATAAAGACAGCGTAAGGCTCCCTAACTCATTTGACATCTCTCATTCAATGACCTGAGGCTCTTAAATCACTTTAGAAATGTAAAAATTCACACCTCATCGCTTTAAAGGAGGGAGTCAGAGGAAGTATCATTTTCCCATGTTACAGTCCGTACATTTGAGGAACAGTCCACGGAAAACCCCCTTCTCTCATCTTTGGGGGTAGAGGGGTCAGGACTCCATATCATTATCCTCACGTTACAGTCAGTACATTTTGAGGAACAACCCTCAGCTCTAAATAAGTAGCTTGGGACAAAGCCAATGGGGGGAGGGGGGTGCTGAGCAATATCCACCCTGCCCATTTAGAGGGGAAAGGGCCCTAGAGGTGGGACTGGTGGTGCTCTCTGGTCTAGAACCTGCATCTGACTTTAGCCACAGTTCCAGGACCACAGAGCTATAGCTCAGGGGGCTTCTTTCTCTCCTGCTGCTCCTTAGTGGTCCTGAAACTCCCGGACCTTTCAGTGGCCAGTTACTTCCCTCCAAGGATCAGATGAAATACATTGGTCCAGCCCCCGCTGTCTCCCACTTACCCATCTCTGTCCCCAAATACAAAACCTTGTAGAGGGGGGCCAAGCCTCATCTCAGCCCACCCCTCCATGCTTCTCTAGACCAACATGTCCTGCAGGTGCCCCACCTCCCCCCGCCCACTCGCTTGTATCATTAGCTCATTCACAGGAGCAGGCAGGAGAGATGCCCAGCAGACCAGCTACCCCTCCTACCCCTGCCCCAATACCTTCTGTCTCCACAGGCAAGCAGATGTAGCTCTCTGCCTTGCAACCAGGGGGAAAGCCCAACTCTCAGAGGGCTACCCTTTCTGAGGGGAAGAAAGGCAGTGGGCAGTCCTGCCACAGCATAGAAGCCCACGGTCACCTCAAGCGGCTTGGAGCTGGAGGTACCTCATTCCTGAAGACACAGATCAGGGACCTGGGACCTGGGACCTGGCCCATTGTTTTTCTAGAGAGAAAGACACTGTACCACCCCCAGGGCAGGCCATTCAGCCCTCCCCTTGATCCCTCTTCCTGGTTACACAAAGACAAAACCCAGGCCTCCTGATGACCCAAGTCTGAAGGCCAGAGTAACAGCTCGTTTGTTACTAAGGGCTGTGAACACAATAGAATTGGTGAGCAGAGCCCCCAAGGTTAGTTACACTGGCCGGGATCTCCCAGAGTCCCGCTCTTTTCCTCCTGGGGGGGTGGGGGGGAGGGCATGAAGCAGCATCGGAACCACCTGCCACCCTCAGCTCTGTACCTGAGGCAACTAGACTTCCCCCCAAGGAAACTGGAGCCAGAGGGAGACATAGTCCTGAGAAGGAAGGGAAGGGGCCAGTTCGGCCTGGCACACACAGAAAGAGGGGAAGACAGACACCTGGGAAAGAGGCCAGCCTCTCTCTGCCCTTGCCATGAGCAGGGATGAGCGGTCTTATCTCAGCCCTGCACCTCCCACCGATGACTAGAGATCAGAGAGGGCAGAGAGAGAGCTGGCAGCCAGGGGGCTGGGCCGGGCCCCAGGGGGTGCAGTCCACCATCACCGAGCTTTTCCAAGCCTCCCCGGAGAGAAGGCAACAGGGTCATTTTGGACGGTTCCCTTCCCATCTGCAAAGTCCTCAGCCTCAAACTAAGGAGGGTCTGTGGTTTCCACTCCCAAGCACTGGCTCCCTAACTTCCACCAGACTGGCGCCCCCCTTTGCCCTCCCGAGGTGGCTTCGTGGGGTGCTCTCCGCCCGGAGGAAGGGGGTGTCGACCTTCTGCAGCCAGAGCTCCCCGTCCGGCCCCTTCCCCTAGCATCTCCTCCATGCCCCTTTGTTTTCCGGCGGGGAAAGTTGCCAGCGTGCACCCCTTCCCCAACACGCCCCCCTGTGCGCCCATCCCCCTCCGGGAATCCAAGCCCGGGCGCACCAGCTAATCCGCCGCTCGCTCTCCGGCCGGGGCAGCCGCTTCGAAACCGAAAGCAAAGAGGAAGCGGGACGGGGCAGCGCCCCCAGCCCGGTCGCCCGGTCTTTCCATCCCCGCCCCGCGCCCGCACCTCCTCACTCGCGCCGGCCGCCCCGCGCGGCCACCTCTGCGGGCGGCGGAAAGGCCTCTCTGCGGGCATCGGGGGCACCTACCAGTGCGGGGCCGGGGCCGGGGCCGCGGGCAGGGCAAGGCTGGGCCGGCCGCGTGCGGGCAGGTGCGGCCAGGAGCGGCCAGGAGCGCCGTTTCGCCGGCTGGCTCCCGCTCCTCCTCCCGCGCCCGGACTGGGGCGCTCTCCTGCGCCGCCCGCTCCCCGCCCCCACGCCGGGCGTGGGGCTCCCCCCGCGCCGAGTGGCCGGCCGTGCCTCCCCCACGCCGCCGGCCTCCGGCGCCGCGCCTAGTCCCGCATTGTGTGCCGGCGCCCGCCGCGGGGGCCGGGAGGCTGCAGCCGCCGCTGCCCGGGCCGCACGGAGCCCCGGCGGCGGCGGCGGCACTCACCCATAGCACGGATGCGAGGCGGACTGCACATGCTCGCGTCTGACAGGCGCCCGGCCTCCGGCCCCGCTTAACTCCTTGCTCGCCTGCCGGCCGCCGGGTGCGCTACCTCGCCGGCCCCGCCGTCTTTCGCAGGCGGGAGTCGGCCGCGCCCCGGGCGCCAGGAAGCGCGCCCTCCGCCGGACCGGGGCGCAGGTGGCCGCAGCGCAGAGCTCCTCGGCCCTGCAGGCCCCCTGCCGCACGTATTGGAGGTGTTGCAGGAACCCGGGGGAGAGGACTGCCTCCCAGCTCACAGCAGTTGTGGGGACTGCATGCACAAAATCCACGGTAGGTATCCTGCAGGCCCTCCTACCCGAAGGCTATGACCCACTGGGTGCCAACATTGCGTTCTGTGCAGTTTATCCATGGAAACAGCCCCAGTTTCAAGGTGGAAAAACTGAGGTCTATGGAAGCTAAGGAATTCACCTAAGGCACATTCTGAACTTCCAACGTCCACAGTGTGATTTACAGCAAAGATTAAACAAGATATTTCTGAAGTCAATCTGGATTCTTGTGTTGGAAGGTAGAAAATACTCGATGTCATCTGGAAAGCCTGGAGATTCTGGAATGTGGACGGTGGGGAATCCTGACAGAGGGCCCTGACTTGAGACAGGCCTCTCTGATGGGTCCTAGGTCAGGTCCTAAGTCAGGTCCTGCAAAAAAGCTGAGCAGGGAGTGGGAATGCAACCCAACCCATGTCCCCACGCCAGCCTGAGTCCTGGTACTGGGTGCTGCAGCCAAGAGAAAGGGACATTTTTAAAAACGTATAAGGCTTTGTGGGTGTCCTTTTGTAAATAAGCCATGCAGAGGGGTGCCCTTTTCCAATTCTCACACAAACCCTATGTGTGCCAAGGGCCTGCTCTGAGAGGTCTGACTGCCGCTTCTCTCCTAGCTGTCTCCCCTTTTTTTTGCGTGCCACAGTGACAAAGAGTTCTCAGAGGTGTAAGGCAGCATGGAGTCTTCCAAGAAAAGGAACCTGAGGTTCATCCAGCTGGTCTTACCCTGCACTGGGTGAGAAGCTGGGCTGCTTTCCTACTGTCTGAACCTAATCCGCTCCTATGTCTTCCTCTAATTGCCTGATGGGGCCCTGGGTCTTCCATCAACCTCCTGTCCCTGGTCGGGATATTCAAAAGTGCACCCCAAACTAGAGATGAGCGATTCGGACAAGGAGCTCTAAGCCCATCCCCTACACGCCCTGTTCTAGAGCCGGCTTAGTCATTCTTTCAATGGGGGCAGAAGGACTTATGTCGAGTTTCTCAAACCGATGTAGGGAAGTGCATAGCAGCCATGTGGTGTCAGTGTCAAGAGCTCTTGGCTTCCCTGAGTTAGTTCCTCCTCTGTAAAATGGAGACAGTATTGCCTGTTTCATAAGTATATTTTCGCGACTCAATAACATAATGCATACAAGGTTCTCAGCACTGGCTTTTGGTAACAGAAATGTGTTTTCTGCTCGGATAACTCTGCAGGGAGAAGGAGAAAGGGTCAGGCTACAGGGAGGCAGGTGAGCTGTCCCTAGAACACTGTCAACGAGGCAGGAGACTGCCCTCTCTCTCGGGAAAACCTTGGCAAGAAGTGGCTTTAGTTGATCTGGCAGCAAAGCCTGCCTGCTGAAGAGGGACCTCCCTGCGGCCCCTGGCCTTGGAGGCCCAGTTCTCCGGCTCTGTTTCTCTCTCAGTCTGTGACTGGCAGCTGGCGTGGCTCCCTCCCAGACTCTGGGAGGCAGCATTGCATAGAGGAAAGCATAATGGGCTGGAAAGGCAAAAGATCTGAATTCAGGGTGACTTATCCACGAGGCACAGGAGGTGCAATGCCTAGTAACTATCATATTGTAGGACCCGTAAAATGTTTGACTTTCTTTTAAAATCAGAGATAAAAATTAAACTTTGAAGTCTAGGAAAATATTTTCATATATAATATTCGTATTTTCATCCTTAGGATAGAAGCCATAGCGTACATTAGCCAAGGTGCCAGTTACAGAATCAAAACGAAGGAAGAGTTAGGAGCTGAGGCCGAAGACTTGGCATCAGCCAGCCTCTACCTTGTCCAGCTCTCCCCTGGATGTAACTCCGTCATCTGAGTTTTCTTCATTCCTAAATTAGGAATCATTTCTTCCCCCCCAAAAAATGTATGTAATGCCTTACAATTGACATATCTTCTCTCTTTGGGTAAGGTAGCTATTTTACCCCCATTTTATACATGAGGAAATCAAGATAGATTGTATGTTTTCGTCAAGGTTATACTAGTAAAGGCAAAATGCAGTTCAAACCCAAGTCTTCTGGCACCCCATCCACAGTCCTTTCTATCTTCACCTAGAACAGTGGCCAGCAAACCGCGGCTCTTTGGCCCCTTGAGTGTGGCTCTGCCACAAAATACCACGTGCGGGCGCGCACGTACAGTGCAATTGAAACTTGGTGGCCCATGCACAGAAGTCGGTTTTCGGCTTGGGCGAGTCTATTTTGAAGAAGTGGCGTTAGAAGAAGTGGGGGTACGTTCGCTGAGGTCGGCCCCTCAGATTGAGGACGTTTTTAGCAAAGGCCAGCTTAGGAGGACCCTAATTAAGTTAATAACAATGTACCTACCTATATAGTTTAAGTTTAAAAAATTTGGCTCTCAAAAGAAATTTCAATTGTTGTCCTGTTGATATTTGGCTCTGTTGACTAATGAGTTTGCCAACCACTGACCTAGAAGATTTCAAGTAAGATCAAGGCAGAGCAGTCTGCTGCAGAATCAGACCGAAAAATGCACTGAGTGGTCCCCTGGCTTTTCACCCAGCGAAGGCTGAGACATGCATTCAGTGTTGTGTGAATGGGTGAGGAGGGTGACTGGGTGCAGGTAGGCACAGTAATGGCGGATAGTGGTTCCAATACAGACTCAGGTTGGAGGGCCCTGGGACACACTAAACCCCAAAAGATGCCAGCCCTTCCTTTGCCTTCTTGTCTTGCCAAAGCGGCCTGGATCTGATTCAGCCTCCACATCCTAGGCAGATAGCTTAAGGCAGTCTGTTTAACCTTTCTGCGCCTACGTCCTCATCTGGAAAATGGAAATAGCAATAATAACCAAGCCCATGACCGTTGCAAGCATAAATGCGATGATTCATGTTAGGTAGTTAGCATGGTGCCAGGCACATGG